GATCCTGGAACTCTTGCAAGTTCATTCAGGTGCATTTTATTTGTTTTATTTGTGCTCTTCGAGAGCGAAGCGGCCATTTTAGGTTTCACTTGGCCTCAACGCACACCAGCGACGTTTCAGGCCTGCTACGGTGTGTGTGTGTGTGTGTGTATAAGTGAGTGAGTGTGGTGGGCCCACATTAAGCTATTTTTCTATTTTTGAACCATATAGTGGTTCAATACTCTGACTCATTGAAAGTATGTCAGTAAAGGGTTACATTGGTATTTCTAACTAAATCTAAAGTTTGTTTACTTGCTGTATTTATATTTTAAGTTTTCCAAAGGACACTGATATATTGGTTTACACTGATTGGTGACCAATTTGGCTCGTCCGGGATCGATTCCTGCTGTTATACTGCTTAAAAGTCAGTGCAAAGAGAATATTCTGCTGCAGGAAAGCTGGTGTTCATGTGAGTCGGGAGAAAATGGATGCTGATGATTCTGTCTTACAAACTAAACTGGATGAATGGTGTCAGAAAGCAATAGTTGATCAGAAACATGCAGTGTTACTGTTGGAAGTGCCTGCAGATTTGGAGGTGGCACAAATTGAGCAAACGGTCCAAGCAGTCAAAGCTTTGGGAAGAGTGAGAGTCAGGGATTATAAAGAAGGGCCAACACCAGGGCTTATACTTGTGCTGTGTGAGTGCAAAGAAGTGGTTGATCCTTCTCGCCTACCTGTAGAAGTAATACCTGAAGGAGGTGGGAAGCCGTGGAAAATGGTTGCAGCAAAAGAGTGGAGTCACCGCCTGCTGGGTTTGCTGAGAAACTATCAAAGCTGTTAGTACAGGAAGGAAAGTATGTCTCTGATCTTCAAGCTATGTTCTCTTCACCCAGTTCCAATGCAGGGTCTCCAGAAGCAATAATCCGTGCGGTGGGTGAGCTGCTGGAAAAGACTTCGAAACCTGTTAGTGATGGAAGTGCATACCGACGCTTGAGAACCTTTTCAGGTACTGTTCCTACTCCAACAGGGGAAGAAGCCTTGGAGACCTGGATGGATCAAGCCAGAATGATGGTCGTGGAGTGTGAATGCTCAGAGAAAGAGAAGCGTCGACGTATCATTGAAAGCCTAAAGGGTTCAGCCCTGGATGTTGTGAAGGCTATCAGATTTGCTAATCCAGATACAACTTCCCTTCAGTATCTGGAGGCTTTGGAGGGTGCTTTTGGAACTCCTGAATCAGGAGAAGATTTATATTTTGCTTTCAGGTTGTTGAGGCAGAATCCTGATGAAGCACTTTCTGATTTCTTGAAGAGAATGGAAAAATCTTTGACAAGGGTAGCACAAAAAAGTGGGTTGCCTGGGAACAATGTCGACAGAACAAGAATTGAGCAGCTAATTCGAGGAGCTGTTGAATCTGACTTGTTGTTGCTTCAGTTGCGATTGAGAGAGAGACGAGAGAATCCACCTACTTTTTTAGCTCTCTTGAATGAGATCAGGGAGGCTGAAGAAAGTGAAGCTGCCAGACATAGTCTGGGTTCCACTGCAAAACCCATCCCTAGACCACGACAGAAACTAGCTGGTTTGGCTGCAGTGAGAGAACTGAAGGCTGAGATTCAAGAGCTGCGGACAAAAGTAACAGAAGGTCCTTCTAAAGTACCTGTGTCGTAGGTGATGTGGGAGTCAAAGCCTGTACCAAGTAGGAGAGGAGGAGACACACCAGCAGACCTGAAAGTACACTCACTAAGGAGGCAGATACAAAGACTAGAAGAGCAGCTGGTTTCACTGAGTGTCAGACAGTCGTCACAGTCATCAAAAGAAACACAACCACCCGAGCAGGCTGTTACATCTGTGAAACCCAGACTTGAAATGACTAAAGAAGATTAC